GTTGGCCAAGTGGTTGTTCTCCAGATTTCTTGGCACAACTTGGTGAGCACATCCAGGGCAGCATCTGTTAACTGAAATATGTCAATTGGTATACCATCTGTTCCTGGAGCCTTATTTTTTGCCATATCCTTCAAAGCAGCCTGAACTTCTTCTTTCATCACCATAGGCTCTTGCTCATATGTTCCAAGGCTAAGTAGGTATTTTTCATACCTCATGTTTTAAAATTTATATTCTCCAATAATAACTCCTGTCAGTTTTTTAAAAAAATCTGCCTAGCTCATCCACACACATTTCCATTTTCAAAGAGGAGATGGAGAAATGATGTTATCCCACAGAGGTGGGAACACTGTATTTGTATGGCAACAGCTGGCTTGTAAGGTGGACTAGTGCGTGTGCATGTATGTGTGTGTGTGTGCATGCGTGCACGCCCGCTCAGCACCAGCCTTCTCATCGTACAAACAGTGCCAGTCTGGTCAGCATCTCACAGACACACCTCCCTCTGTTTCAGATTTCCTCTGATAAACTCTTCTGTTTTCCTTCGCAGGGTTCTACGTGCGAGAGATGGCTGACGCCAGCACAGCCAAGCTGTACTCGGGACTGCTGGGGGTGGGGGATGAGCTCCTTGAGGTGAACGGGGCCAAGGTGGCCGGGCTGGGCTTGGCTCACATAGAAGCGCTGCTGGCCCACGCGGAGAGCTTGTCGATCCGTGTGCTGAGACAGCGGTCTGGCCCGCGGTGACCCACAGGTGCCCTTGCTCACACCTGTCACTGTGCAGACGCCGAGCCTCCCGGGCAGTGCTGGGAATGTGCTGCTTTGAGGAGAGAAGACACACATCACAGTGGCATCCAGCCCCTCCGTGAGGGACGGCCCTGGGCAGAGGCAGGCGCCAGCTGGTGCATTGTGCTTAAGGCTGCTGTTACGAGGTGATGTGGCATCAGCTCTGACTCAGAGCGACCCTGTGTACAGCACATCTAAACCTAGCCTGGTCCTGCGCCATTCTCACCACCTCCACCATCTGAAAGGCCCTTCATCTATGCAGAACTGGAGAAAGAAACTGTGGGCCTCTTTCCATGCCAGTGGTGGTGTCAGTGATGTTGATGGGAGGAGAGATTCAGCAAATCCCTCAGCTCTCTGAGGGTCGACCTCACCTCTGGGGTCGCATCTTGCTCTGTCAGAGCCCCCTCAGCCCCCAACATTCCAGCAACAAAGAAGGTACTTGGCCATACTGGCCTTGACTGTTTTCATTTTCAGTTATGGTTCTCCTTGCTTTTGTACATTGCTCTTTATTCAGAAATGAGCTGTATCC